CTGTGTTGCGGGGGTGGGGGATAGGAGGAGGTTGTCCACACTCAAATGGCATGTCACAGAGTCTTGACTCCAGTGAACTATTCTGGTGCTGTCCCTGTTCCTGAACCGGTGCATATGGTGAGCCCGTGCATATGACCTCCCCTCCCTGGGAGCTTTTAAGAGCTTCTTTTATACAGTTATTTTGATATTCTCCGTGATGTGCCTTGGAATAAGTCTATTCAGATTTGTTGTGCTGGGAACCTGGTGGGTTCTTTGAGGACTGGATTTTTGCAGTTTATATATATTGCTAATTTTGTGTACATCTTTTCTAAAAAACCATAATGTCTCCCTATGCAGTCTAGTTTACCTCCCTTCCTAAATGGAACTTTCCAGTCCAGCCAAGTTTGTGTTTTTGATAGGTATTTCTCTCATTTTACTTGAATTCCCTACACTTTACCTTAATAACACAATAGATTCTACCTAACTGCAAAGTTTATGTTCCCGAAAAGCCTTTTTTAAAGGGAACCGATTGTACTTGAGGAACTTAAGATCTTGTGGGAGAGAAATGCAATTAGGAAAATAGTTGCTGGTCAGAGGTTTTAAACAATTTTTATGTTTCCTCATAGGAAACAATAAAGAAAGGGACACTGAGAAGAATATAAATCAGCAATATTGGACAAATTCCCACCATCTCCTTGTGTCGTGCTTACACGTTTACCTTGCCTTAGCGTAGTTCAGAGGCTTCCCTCTCTCCAGCATTCCAGCTCAGTGTTTAATTTCTTTTGTGAAGAGAGTGATCTCATTATGGTGGCAAAAAGATAGATCCTTGAAATAAAAGGTGCTTTGGGTAATCTATTCCTTCCACCCTGACTGAGCAGGTGTTTCCCAAGGCCCTCTATCAGCAGACAGGGCTGGGCACCTCAGTGCCACCCGTAGGACATGCCAACCCATTCCCTGTCACGTTGTCCCTCCCTCTCTACCTATCTATCCCTCCCCCCAAGAAAAAAATAGAAAAAAGGAGAAACAGACACAAACTAAACATACTGGGACTAGAGTTTCTGACCTCTAGCTTTCCTTTCTCTTCTCAACTCTTTTTTTCACATCCTCAACAGAAAGGTCTGAAACCTCATGTACACTGGAGCCACAGTTATCCAAGCTGAGGAAAAAAGAAGTCAAAGTACCTGTGTGAAAACTCCATTTTCACATGAGGCGACTTACAGCTTGGGGGTCACGTTGTTGACAGGACGGGAGCTTTGCCGTACGGGGCCCCAGGTTCAGGTTCCACCTGTGTATCGTGATGTCCTCAGATTGAGGTCAGCACATATGTACAAAAACAAACCAGCTTAACATTCTGCATGATCACTTTTCTTAAACAGAAGGGTTTATTGACATTTTTGAATCCTTTAAAATAATTATATCCTATAGGACACAAACTGGTGGCCCTTGGGCAGGATACAGTCTAAGGTATATTTTCTTTGGCCCTTAGAATGTTTTACAAATATGGATTAGTTGCTTTCATTTACAGATTTGGATATTTCATATAAAATCCCAGACTTCAATGTTGGCTTGAAAAAAATCAGAAAATTTGACCAAGCAAGGCCTGTGCACACAATTGTTACCTGGTTTGCCCCTAGGGGTTTGCATTCGCACCCTGTGCTGCGATGAGACAGCTATCCTAATTTTGAAAGCTAGCTCCTGAAATTCTGTAAAAATGTGTTCCCCTCTAAGGAATAGGGCATTGGTGGGGAAAAAAAAGTAATTCCTGGCAATGTTTCTATGAGAGGTAAGCAGAGAAAAGTTTCACAAGCATCCTTTTGTCTCTGAAAGTGCACTGGAAGACTGTTCATGTGTCGTTCTGGCCTGCAAATAAGTCCATGTGAAAGTTTTGCGTGATTGGGGAGTCGGGTGTGTTATATGCATAATATTATATCACTCAAATGACTTGCTCAGGATATCCTATGTAAATGTAATGACAAAAGAAAGTCTTTGTTACGATCCTGCTTATTTTAAGTTAAGCAGGCTTCAGTGACACTGCCATTGACTCTTCTGTTCCTGAGGACCGCCATCCTACTGCTTGCTGACCTCCTCTGTAGAGTTACTGATCCGTGGCTGTGGAAAGTGCTAACTTTGTGCTCGCCAGCCGCTGTCTGCCAGCAGGAATGGAATATTACAGCTTAGCCTTGGGGAGGCGCTTAGATGGATCCTCAGTAGAGCTTGCCTCTGTGCCACAGTGGTCGAAGCTGAAGCCAGGAGGGATTAAGTGATTTACTCTCAGTCATACTGCTAATTAGTAATGAAGCCAAGATTAGGTCTAAATCTGGCAGCACCTGAGCCAGAGCCCTTCCTGGGCTGCACCCCCCCCCCCACCACCACGCATCCCCCTCTTGCCACTTCTTCCTTGCGTGGCAGTAGGGCATGTGTCTCTTTTCTAGAAAAACTAAACTTGTAGTGAGGGACTATTTTGTTTCAAGATAACGGTTAGCTAGTCGGTGTGTATGGTTTGTGATTATTTTAGTCAGGATTTACGTTTTCGGGTCGTGTGTGGTCTCCTTTATTCAGTTATTCCTGTACAGCTTTGTAATTCTATAACTTTAGCAACTGGCATTTTAGACATTCCATGAATACATTTTCATTGTAGTAAGTAAGCTCAGTGACACTGGAATTGACTAGGAAGTTATTTATTCATCCAGAAAATAATTGGACACTTTTGAAATGTGTGCTTGTGCCTTCCGTATGTTTTGGTTATAATTATTTAAACAATTTGGGATTCGTGTCCTGTGTTTTGACATTCCTCAGCAATAGTCAAGAAGACATCTTGCTGTCTGCTTTCACTAAAAAGAATAGTTTTTGAATTCTCTCGTTGGGCTCCAGTTATTTAGATGCTGGATCTCCTTTCCTTTATCAGTTCACTGTTTCTCATCTCTCCTCACACTGTCTATTTTTGTCTTTTGTTTTTTCTGAAACTGCTCAATGTCTTCTGTTTCTTTAATTGTTAATATTAGCCAATGTATTTAACTCCTAAGGGCTATTTTTATTTCCTATTATTCCTTTTTTATTGCATCCTCTTCTTGTTTTTATGGCTGTTCTATATTTGTTCTGAGAATACTATTTAGAGGTTATTGGGTGTTTTTTTTTTTCTTTTTTGTTTTAAGTTTTCCTGTTTCCTATATTATCCCTATTTCCTCTGGGAGTAATTTTTATTTTCTGTTAAGTTATCCTGTTTATCCTAAATTTCCATTTCATATTTTAGTCTTTGCTTATATATTTTGTGATCCCTGGTTGTCTGAATCAGTATAAAATGAGGCAATATTGGGTCTGACAAGGAGTTTTCAGTGCAGTGTCAGCTGGCAGGCTGCACTGTAGGAAGAGATCAGGGGAATATCATTTCTCCGAAGAGTCCCTAAATGTCTGATGTGGAAAGCCTGCCCTTTGGCACCCATGTCTGCGTTTGCTACTCTGGTTCTACTCAGCCAATCTTTTTAAGTTCTGTAGAGAAAATGCCTCTGTTTGGAGTGGGGAGTGGAAGCATATCAAGGTTGACTTCTGTAAACAGATCCTTGAATTCTTTAGTTTCAGCTGCATTGCTCATTGCTCCCTTCTTCATGTACCCAGAGAGGATTTAAATGGCACCACCATCGATCCACCGTAGGTTGGCCACCAGCTCTCGTAGTCATCCTGCTTCCTCTCCTCTCCCTGCACCTCACACCGTGCACTAAGTGCAGGTGTAGCTCTTACCACATGCTTAGCACTGTTCCAGAAGCTTTACACATGTCACTCACTTGATCCTCACAACACATTTAAGAAGAAAATACAGTTGTCATCCCCACTTTAAGATGAGGAAGCTGAGTGTGTCTGGGGTCATACAGTGAGTGCACCAGCTGGGATTCAAATGCAGTCTCTGCTCTCAACCACTGCACTGTCCTCCTTTAAAGCATCAGTTAAGACCCTGCATCACTAGAACAGGTCCCGAGTCTGACTGCCTTCCCATTTCCACTCTTAGAACCCTAGTCCTCACTCTGACAAGCTCATCTGGACTGTGGTTTTTCACCTCCACCCTCTTCCTCTAGAGGCTGTCCACCACCTAGCAGCTACATGAAGATCCATGATCTGATCTGCACCCAGAAAAACTTCACTACAGTGGCTTCTCGTCTCTACCACATTAGACTCCACATCCCTCTGATGGCCGAGAGGCCCTCTGTGACCTGACCAATCACCTTTCCGTCTCGTTTGTCTCTCTCCGTTCATCCCTGTTTCCTGTCCTTCAAGCTTTTCTTAGGGCCTTGCTGCTGTTTGTAGCGCTAACAGCTGTTTGTAGGCGATCTCCTTCTCATCAGGAAAGTCTCAGCCAAGGAGCAGACCTTCACTCCCTCACACTCTCACCACATTGGCTTATTGTAGCTTTAAAAGCATGTACCAGGATCTTAAATTTCTTAATTTGTTTATATGTTTTTCTGTCCAAACTCAAGTCTAAGCTCCTTGCAGGCAGGGACTTTGTCTTGCCCAGTGCTGGGTCTACAGGGCCTGGCCAAGGACCTGGCTTTTTGTGGGCTGTCCCCAAGTGCTGCTGGCAGCTGTCTCAGGAGCTCTCAAGCTTAACACACCTTCCTCCATTGCAACCCCCACCTCCCACCCCACCAAAGTCAGTCGCTGCTCTTCTAGAGGCTTCAGCGTTCAGCAGAAATGTGCTGAAATCTCATCTACTAATAGCCCCTTTCCCGTTATAGTTGTTACAGTGTTTAAGTTGCAGCCATTTGTGTATCATCATCAGTATTTTTGTCAAATCTGCTACCCCTAATTTGTTTCTCTTTAAATTATTTAAATTAATATGAAATAGAAACTTTCACAACATATATGGAAAAGAAAACCAGTATTACTTATCATGAATAAGTGATGGTAAAAGTTAATATGTTCTATTGAAAATAAAAATATCTATTGAAAAAAAATGTATGATTTAAAATTGTCAAAACTTCACTTTTATGCAATGCTTTTCTTTATGCTAGTAGTTGGACTGGAGAGTTGATAAGCATGTCCTCAGTTATAATCTTGAACTTGAAGCCCATCATTTGAAAATTGACCGTGTAGTGGATATCTGAGGCAACAGTTGTGTCCAGTTGTTTATGTCTCCTAAAGCCAGGGCAGCTTGAGTTTGAGCGTCTCCAAAGTTATTAAGGTACAGTATGTTTAAGTATCTGTCAGTATCCCTTTTCAGTGTTTGTGTGCATGGTATAAAGTATGTCTTCAGAGCAATTTGAACACCATTTGAAATTTTTCTCCTAATCTAGGATTGACTACATTGCAGGGATGATGGACATTTACTTATGTTTGAGACGATCATTCAGGATGGTGGGCGATATAAGAATGAAGACTATTTCAAATTTCCGGTGGCTGTTAGCCACATTTGTTCTTCTGTATCTAATGAATCAAGTAAATAGTCAGAAAAAGGGTGAGTACATCAGACATATAGAGAATGGACAGATTGCAATTTTATTTCCATTTTGATTATAAAGCAATCTTGTTTCTTTATTTGAACCCTTCAGGTTTTCAGTGGTTAAAATCCATTTCTCTGTAATAATCTTTTTTCTGTGCACTTTTAGTTGCTTTTAAAAAGACTCTTAAAAATAGTTCAAAATATTCTTTTACTGTTTTTAAAACTTAAGGTATAACTTACATACAATAAAATTTTACCCTTTTTGGATATAGTTTTATGAGTTTTGACAGTGCAGGTAACCACTAGCACAATCAGGATATATGGAACAGTCCCAACACTACAGAAAATTCCCTGTGCTCCTCTGTAGTCAGGCCCTCCTAGCCTACCCCCCACCAAAACTGCTGTTTTCCATCTCTATAATTTTACCTTTTTAGAGTGTCATGTAAGTGAAATCTGTATCTGTTTTTAATATGTTGTTTGCTGGCTACACATGTTTAGAAGCTATGTTTGTAGATGTGAAAGACATGCAGTTTTTACGTAGAATTTACATTTTTGGGGGGGCAAAAGGGGCTGTTGGAGACTCAAAGGGTGTTAGAAGCCCCCTAGAACCTTTCTTGGTCCCACCATTGAATCTATACATTCAGTCACTCCCTCCATTTGTCTTAGTTGCCTAGAGTGGAATTTTTGATGGAAGCCTAACCCCAAAGTGGTCTAGCAGTTGGCCCACTTTTATCAGTTTACCCTTTAGCTTTTTCTTAAGCAAAGTTTCAAAAAGAAATATAAAATCAGTCACCTCCCATGACTGCAGTGTCATCTCTTCACCAGGAATGTGGGCCCTCTGCAGACACACATGCTTGTTGTGTTTACGACAGAAAACGGCTTGCCTGGTTGACCTTTTACAATGCAGTTGAGTTACTAAGCATGTTCTGTGTTGTGTGTGTGTTGTTTGTTCTTCTGCAGGGGCTCATGACTTGAAGTGCATAACTAATAATTTACAACTGTGGGACTGTTCGTGGAAAGCATCCTCTGGAACAGGCCATGGCACTATTTATGAAGTTTGTATTGAAAACAGGTAATGGAATGCTTTAATTAACTCATAGCTACTGCCTAGAGGTTCTTTATCTTTAATTTTAGAATATAAAGATTTTATTCTGGAAATTTTTAAATGAAATTTCAACTCTTAGCTCTCTGTTTTGTAAAAATTCTGAATCTTACATCAATCAAGAAGGTAACAAACTCTTCTAGCTAAAACTTTTATTCTTTTATTATATGAATAAGGAGTATGAAGCATACCTTCAGTGTACTGATCTGCTCTGGAGAAGTTTTACTTGCCTACCCCAAATCAGTGTCTACATATATCAGTTAGGTTTAAGTTTGACTGTGCCTAACAGAAAATGTCAGTAATGGCTCAACAGACAGGCATTTGCTCTCATGTAAAAGGTTTGGAGGTAGGCTTAGGGTTGATGTGGCTGTTTATGTCTATGAGAGAACAGGTCCCTCTGTTATGCTACTCTGCCATTGTTAGCATGTGATCTCATGGTTCAAGGTGATGTTTGTGGAGCATCCATTGTGTCTGTGCTCTAAGAGGCAAGAAAGAAGAAGAATGACCACAAAACACCTCTGCTTACCTCTCACTGACCAGAGAACCTGGTCAGATGGCTAAATCTAGTTGTATAAGAGGCTGGGAAGTATGTTCTAGCTGGGTGGCAACATGCCCGATAAACACTGGGTGCATGTTACTAGGTGCCCATTGGGAGGCAGGTGGCAAGCTCTGTTACTTACCCTTGCAAGTAATCTTGAACTGGGCTAGAAGCGCCTAAGCCTAGAGTGGAGGCCTTTGGGCTACCTGCAGGCCTGAGCAATTCCCATTGCTTCTCCTTAATCCAAGGAGGAGGCTGAGTTGCTTAGCAAAGTCAGAGGAGTTCCAGCCCGCCACATCCCGGTTTCCTGAGGAGTGGTCCTAATGGAGGAGTGGTCCTAATGTAAATAGATATAAATGTGTATTTAAATACAATCAGATATTTCCCCATTCAGTGTAAATTTATTTATCATTATTCTAAGCATTGGAGTAATTTATCAGTCAGTATGAGCTAGGTTGTGTTGCAGAAACAATTCTCAAGTCTTATTTCCTTATTTCTTGCTTGAGAAAATAAAGGGTTATTTCCTGCTTTGTTCTGTGTCTGTCAGGTCAGCTGGGATCTCTGATCTGTGTTTCTCCCCTAGGGCCCTAGGAATTAAAAGGTGTGCTGACAGGGGAAGGAGAGGGGACACAGCCTGTGCTGGCTTTTAGAGCTTTCATCCTGAACTGATAAATGTGACTTTCGCCAAATAAAACCCCATGGCCATGTCTTGCTTCAGAGGGGCAGGGAAGGCTGTCCTACTGTGAGTCCAGAAGGGGAGAGCCTGAAAAACCCCCTAAATAGCACAGATGCACACCACAGGCCATTCTGGGAGGAAGTTAGTTTTGGCTCTGCAGAAGTTCTCAATAACCAAATAATAACAGTGCTGTGGGTTATGTGCTGATGGAAGTTTTACATGAAGGGCTAAAAGAGGGGAGATCAAGAAGTATGGAAATCCAGGGGGGCTGTCAGAAGAGTTTTAATTGTGGAGTGGCCATACTCAGTTTTATCAGCAAAAAAAGGACAGAAGGACATTCCATCCCAAAAGAATATTAGGTACAGTGGCCAGAACATGTGAAATTACATGATTTAGAGAATTCAGGTGGTGTCCTGTTGTTGGCACAAAAAGAGTCCTCACCATATGGATTTGAGAAGGAGGTGAGCCAGACCACTCAAGCCCGAAGTCATAAGAGAAGACTGTAAAGAGGCCTGCGTTGGTGCTGTGTGAGGCAGGGAAAGGCCATTTGCTCCAATTAAATTTTTCATGGGAAGCTAGAAATGTACTTGAATAACAATAAAAAGAATGTAAATGGGTTCTATAGCGATAGAAAGGGCTGTGGAACCAGAGAGCAGAATATCATTTTGTCTGAGAGATACTGCATGGGGAACTGGAAGCATTTTGAAAGCCGAAAGATGAGGAAATTTTGTTCAAAGTAAACTGTGAGCCCAGGCAGAGGAATGGGCAAGCTGAGGGCATGTTTGCAGGGCCCACAAGTAGCCAGTTTCCTTTCTTTTGTTAGGATCCACTTTTTTGAGAGCACCATCTTAGTATGAGGACCAAGAGTTGGGGCTGAAGGGGGCAGAGCATGTGCAGTGGGAGGTGAGGCTGCAAAGGGAAGGTTGAGGTGGGATTTTTGAATGGCTTGCTAGAATCCTAAATTTCTGGAAGGAATCATCTATGTTTACTCTACTTTGTGGTACAATCTGTTTATTTTTACTACCACTGCATTGATAAAAGTACCATTAACCCTTTTGTTTCAGTCTTAAACTGCAGTACAACCTATCATGCTTTTGTATACAAAAGAGCAGAAAGTATCTTCCAGTGTATTTTGTGTTGATCGAGTTTTTGTGAAAATTGCACTGTTAATTTTATCTGCTAGTTAAAATTGATCTCTTATATTTCAGGTCCCATTCTTGTTATCGATCAGAGAAAACAAATATTAAAATCCCAGCTCTTTCACCTGGTAATCATGAAATAATAATAAACTCTCTACATGATTTTGGAAGTTTTAAAAGTAAATTTATACTGAATGAGAAAGACATTTGTAAGTATTTGAAAACTGATTTTTAAATAGATCAGTGCTATTGTCAGTGTTGTGGTACTTTCATATTGGGAGAAGCTTGGCATTCTTTGAATTTCACTTGTTTCACTAATATGTCCTTTAGCCAGCAGCCTTACTGTGGATTGGAGGCCACAGCCAACGCAGGAGGGAAGGAAACTTGTCTTCTCCTAGTCACTCAAGACAGACATCCCAGCACTCAAGGTCCTTCCCTCAGCTCTTTCCTTAGGCCTCTTTTCCTCCTTGATTCATTCACACCCTCCAGAGTTTCTCAGATGCTTCATGCTCTGGGATGTAGTTTTCAACCACCTCCTCTAAGAAGAGAATCTATTCCTTTCTTAACGTACTCTTAGGCAAGCTGCTCTTTTTATTTGTGGCATTTCTCACAATTAAATTAATAATCCATTGTGTAATTAAGTATTTTCTGTGTGTCTCCTCCACAGTTAAATAGGTTCCTCGAGGCCAGGGACTTCGTCTTCTACACAGAGCACTTAGCAGAGCACTGTGCACATAGCAGGCATTTATTACACGTTTGTTGACTGAATGTCTAGGGCATATGCTACAAGCAGATTGGAAGCACAAAACAAACCCAGGCTGACAGATGGCAATTTTGCTGTGCAACGAGCCTTCAAAAACCCAAGCAGTGTCTTCACTCTTACTGGTGGGGCAAGTGGGTTTGTCAACTCTTAACAGCTGTGATGGGACACCATTGTAATGACAACTGAGTTTGAAGAAAGGGAAAGAAAATATAATTAATTTGGCGATTTGTCCAGTTTTATGGACAGAATGCATGTTTGGAGTGGTTTATGACTGAGACAGCACAGATTTTGAAAGGATAATAACAAAACATGCTGTCCAGGAACATGTAGTCTGTCTCACCTTTTAGCTGAAATGTTGTCTATGTAAAGTGCTAGTTAGGGCCATCTTTCACGATAATGAGAGATGAACCGTTTTGTTCTTTTCTTTATATGTTTATAGGTGAGATCTATGTGAGAATATTTTATGCAGATTAGCCATGATTCCAGTACCACAGAGAAATACTGTGAACAGTTAAATATATTTTCTATGCATATACATATAAACAATAAGGTTCATGTTACTTTACAACCTGCTTAACAGAAGACATATGATAGATTTTCAAGTTGTATTTATATAAATCTATATTATTTTTAATATCTTGGTGTAAAAGATAACATTCTTTTCTCATTTGTTCATAAGAGCTATTTTGTGGTATTAATTCTGTCATATTTGCTGCAAATATTTTTCTGGGTTTATAGGTTTTTAAATGTTGTGATATTTTTCACACTGTAAATTTTCATTTTTATGTAATAGAATCTGTTGCTTTTTTTCTTATGAGTTTTTGGTTTTGCTGTCATGTCTGACTTTAATCTTTCATCCATCTGAAATTATTTTGTAGTAAAGTGTGAGGAATCTAACAATTTTATCCTAGGTTTTTTAAATCCCCAGGAGTGTAGGAGAGCCAGTTTGTGTTGTCTGATTATTTCAATAGGTATCCAAAGTTCTTGTCTGGGAAGTTACTTGAAGATGACAGTGTTAGAAATACTTAGAAAGGCAAATCAAGACAGACTCTATGTGACTCAGTGGATTAATAGTTTATTGTTTTTACATATCATGTAACTTATTGGTAGCATTTTTAATAATAATGGGCCTGAACATGATTAGAGTGACAGTATCAGGATAAGAAAATTGAAAAGCAAATTGGGTGAATATAAGAAAAGGGAGATGGATGCAGCAGCAAATCTTTGAGCACCTACTGGTTGCAAGGGAAGCTCTGAAATGTCCATTAGAGGATCTGGGTTCTTTGACAATTTGCTACTAAATAGAAATATGAAAAATTAAGTTTTCTCCAGATCTGAAGATACTTTGAAAAGTATACACATCAATTAAACAAGATTTTGTACAAACACACACAATAAATTTGTATTTATCAAGGGCAAACACAAAAAAAGTCTTTGTAAGACTTTTAATATCTAAGTTTCTTAAAATAATCTGAAAAAAATGGCTCTGAGTCAGATTGAATAATGTGGATCCTATCAAAAAGCTAGGAAGACTCCTATCTCCTGATGTTCTAAGGAAGGAATAGCACTTAGGTTATATGGGTAAAGCTGTACTAGCTTTAAGAAAATAAACAAAACTATAATTAAATTCCTTTCCTATCTGAAAAGTTCTAAGTTTCTAGAAAGCAAGTTAACATTGTTCTCACGTATCTATTTTATTTTTTTATTGAATATACATATTCATGGAGCACAAAGTTGACCATCAGCACCTGTGCCCAAGATGTGATGATCAGATCAATACTGTCAGCATGGCCACCACTACAAATTGCAGTTATTCCCTGCGTGCCCCATCCAATCTCTCCCCAACCCCCTCCCCAACAACTCTAGGTCTGTTCTCTAACTCTCTATGTCCAATGCTCCACTGTGGTCTTTCTTTCCTTCTTTCTCTCTTACTCCCACTTAAGAGTGAGGACGTGCAATATTTTTTCCCTTTGTGCCTGGCTTATTTCACTTAACATAATTTTCTCCAAGCTCTCAGAAGTCTATTTTAGCTCAAAAGAAATGCAGATGACAGTTCATGGGAGCTTAGGGGAAACTCCCCTGTATTCTGTGAGGAAAAGGAAGGCAACAAAGTGTATTTTTCTTTAATCCTTTCATTTGTAAATATGGCTATTACTGTCTTCAGCTTGAAATATTGGCTATGACTTGTGTTTTGAAGACTAGCCCACTGCTATTTAGATAAAATGTAAATTATGTGGGCTTTTCAGGGAGGGAAGCATTTTAGTAGATTAGTGTTGCTTTAGTAAAATACTCCCATGTTTTATAATTTTTTTTTTTTTTTTTTTTTTTTTTTTTTTTTTTTTTTTTTTTTTTTT